CTTCATCAAAACTGTTCTCTTTGAAGACATAAGCCGATTCCAAGTCAAACCCAATGCTATTTCTGGATCCATTCAAGACCGAGGCTGTGGCTTTGTTGTCTTGTTGTGTATGACATCAGAAATACGACTGACTCAGGGCGTCTGTGAGTCAAAGAAGTGTGTCAAAAAGTTTCGAGATAGGTGTGTGTGCGTGTGTGTGTGTGTTTGTTTTTGTGTGTGTCTGATTACCATGCAGCCTGCTGACTGAGGCCAGATAATGAGAAATGTTGCTTCATGTGTTTATGTTTGTGTAGATACGACTGAACGTGTGTGCGTTTGTGTGAGGGTGTGTGTGTGTGTGTGCCACATGCGTGTACAGACACAGACCTTCAAAACAGAATATCAAAGCATGAGGAGGGGAGAGAGGATGGGGTGGGAAGGAGGAAGGCAGGAGCAGAGGAAGAGGAGCAGAGAAAAATGAAGGGAGGCTAAAGAAAAAGAGGTGCTGCCAAATGTCACATCGTGGGGTTTTTTTATTTTTTTTTATTTCTCGTGCAGTTCAAATTAAATATTAACCAGAGCTGCAGGTGGCAGCGACCAGGTCCGAGCACCTCCATGTAGATGTAGCAACCTGATGTGAGCTCATCACCGCCCCCTGCTGAGGAGCAGGGGGCGGTGTCTTAGAGTTTGAGTTCAAATTTCAACTGTTAAGGTTTACTGCTCATACCATATAAGTTAGCCAGCTAATGATTGTTAGCATTTGATAACATTAAGATTAAAATATTTTTAATATGTTTAATCAGAATGTATATGTTGTTAAAACACAATTATTGTCCTTTATCAGACATTTTATTTTCTTTTATTTGACCAATAACAGCAGGTAGATGTATACATTTCACACCTGTTTTTATTTGTGACTAATCAAAATGATTGCACAATGTCAAGAAAAATTAAAACGCACTAAAATAGAGTTTTCAGTATTTTCAATATCTGATTGGTTCCCTGCTAAACTAAACTGTGAGACTTCATCACCTGAGAACTTTGATGTCTTTCAGAATTTCAGGTCAGTAAACAAAAGTTGTTTTTTTTTTGTCCATTGGTTCATATTTTTCATCATGACCCAGATTCTATAATATCCGGGGTGCACAGATTCAGACTGACCACCCCCTGCTGCCCGGGGCCGAGGGGGGCCCCAGTGTGAAGAGAGATCGAGACTTTAAAGCTGAGTGGAACCAGATTCAGGGTTTTGTTGGAAAGGAGGTGAAGTGGAGACGAGGGGGAGTGAATAAAGAGTGGCAGGCCTGGCCCTCGGAGCTGCAGCAGGAACACACACAGATGGAAAACATTAGACCCCCATTCCAGCACAAAGATGGATGGATTATTAGATAGAGAGCTCGAGTGGAGTGGGAGGAGACGGAGGGAAAGGAGAAAGGAGACGAAGTGAAGGGTATGGACACAAGGAGGGGGGAGGGTGGTGAAGAGGGGGAGGGCGTGAGTGTAAATATCCACTAAAAACACAGTGAGTTCTGTAATGCTGGTGTCCTGATTGCTGGTTCAAACCTTGTCGTTAACTCACTTTTGATCCTGTGTGATTTAACCTTAAAATGCGTCTCTTGTTATTAAAGACCAAAATAAGCAAACAAATAATGACCAATCAGAATAAAGGAAATTGGTCTAGTTGGACTCTCCTAAAGATGCTTCAAGTTGATCTGTGATGCTAAACAGAATCTCTTCTTCAGGGATTAGAACGACCACAAGCTTTTATCTCACCAATTCTTAGAAAGTTAAATGTTCTGACTCTAGTCTGCTTGGTATTTTATTTTGAAAAGTGATCACTTCCATCTGTTCCTCTTGTTGGCACTTTACTCAGTCACGTTCTTTTTCATGCACCAGTAAGACCTTAAACTAACTTTGAAGCAATTATAATAAGCAAATGTTGGTGGAGAAACTTTCAAAAGATGAGATAATGAAGAAGAAGAGGGAGGAGGAGAAAAAGAATAATGAGGAGGAATAGAACAGCATTGAGGACCAAAACATAGTTCTCACCTCATTGTGTCTAAAAAGATTCTGATCAAAGTGAAGCTGATGTGGAAAAACATACATCACACTGTAGGACGTAGGAAGTACTTCGAGGAGGGTCATGAGATCCCAGACCCGGTGCGGCATGAATAGAGAGGAGGAATGTGGATCCTGCCTTGGCCCTGTTCTCCACCGCCGGTCTCTCGGACTCTGCAGCCACACGACGATCTGCCTGACAATGAATGGACGACTGTTAATGTTTAAAACAGCTGAACGCTTCCCACCTGAACAATGAGTCTCAGCTGTCAGAGACACATCCAGTACAAGGCCGCGCTTCAGCACCTCAGAGGATAAGGTTGCTCACAGGAAGCGGTGTAGGTCGCATTGTGATTGGCTCCAGATTGGAGCAAAAATAAATTTACTGCTGGTCAATGTTGAAGATTTAGTTCCACTGAGCCGGCTGTTGTGTAGCGTTTCTGGGGATTGTTAAAGAAAGAGTCACAAAGTCTCAAGAGCATTAACGTCAAACCAAATGAATTATTTTAAAATCATTTTTAATTCAAATGTTTTGCTTTGCATAGAGATCTCCTAACTCATTTCTTTCCTGCTGTCTTCTTTTCCTAACCAAAAACAGGTATTTTTTTTTGTAAGATTCAACGTTTTCCTACACGGAAACTCTTCTTTTTTAAAAAAGAAAAATATTAATTTTCATTTTCTGCAAAAAACAAAACAAAAAAGTTTGCTGTTTCATTGACAGCACAAACAGAATCATGAAAAGAATTCAAAACAGCAAAAACAAAGAAAAAAAAAAACTCTCAGCGGGAACCAGTCATTAGAAAAACAAAGACAGATTTGTGTCTCTAGAAACCATGGCCTTATCATAACTCTGTCAAGACCTGCCGAGAAAACTGAACCAGAGCCTGATAGTTCACTTAATGACGTTCAAAGGACTCACTTCACTTCCTCCCTCCAAGGTCAGCTTCCGGCAGCACGGACAGCAGAGGTCAAGCTCCTGTCAGCTCCTCTACAAAAACAGATCGTGTTCCTCAACAATCGGGGGCTTGTTGGATGCTTTCAGCGCCATCGTGAAAGAGCGAGTCCACGGTGAAACTGAATCTTTCTAATCTATTGTCCATCTAAGAGCCTCACGTTTACGAAGTTCTACATTTACGAAACAAAAAGTCGCAAAAACAGTCGACGGAACAGCGCGGTTACGTGAGCTGAGACTCAAAACTTAAAATGTTATTATTTGGTTTTGAAATGAGAAATTGCTGTGGTCGTGTGTATTCTTGTTTATTAAATATTGTTAATACATAATTAATACTACTTTTAGTATTATTTACTTAATGAGTTTGACTTTTTTTAACCGTAATATTACATTCAAATGTTTGTACACACGCACAGACAGTGAGCCACTATCGTTTTACCAAAAGAACTGAGGTATCTGCTGCCACCTTGTGGATTCACACCGCCAATAGAGGACCACACACCAGAAGCAATGACCGCGACGAGAAACTTAACCAAACAACATCATTTAATGCATGGTTATGCAATACAAAACGTTTGTGCAAAAAATGTTCGGACACAATAGATTGACAACGGCCGCTCTGGATCAGAAGGATACGAAGGTAAACTCCCGCGTTGAGCGTGACGTCATTGGAAGTCTTTACATGTGTTTTTAATGCTGTTTTTCTTTTAAAAATATCTAGAATAAAACAGGAAAAAAAAAGGCGTTTGACATGAAAACAAAAACCTAGACTTGATTAAGATTCACAGTCTTGTGTACAAGTGGTTTTTACACTGCTATAGTCATACATGACACAGGTCACGTGCACAAACTCAAGATGCCTAGGTAGCTCGATGTGCTTCAAGGATAATTTAAAAAAAAGGAGAAAAAAAAAATAAGAAGAGAGAAACAAAGAAACTCAATGGTCGTTTTCACCTAAAGTTAAATAAAATACGTTAATCTCTGCTGATAAAATGTTAAAAATATTCGATTATATACTGTCTGTGTAAACAAAAAAAGAGCATGTTTAACCTGAATTAAATTAATTTAGATTTTCAATTTTAGGTTTTCTGCATCCATTGCTTACATGTAGTGACAGTAGTAGTAATAATCATTAAATTATAAATTATAGAATTGTAGAAGTCAATGTTGTGTTCTGGTCATAATGGATCAGATCTTTCTCTATCGTAACTCGTTACTTTGAGGTTGATATATTTGGTGGGAACAATTTCAGTTTGATTTGTAATAAAAAAATTAAAAAATTTGAAAAATGATTTTTGACCCCAGGTAGAATATGACGAGGCTCTGTTATGGTTTGGGACTGCATTTTAGCCATTGAGATGAGACACCTAGTAGTAAACAATTCATCAGTGAAGAAACACACTGCAAATACAGTTGGATTTTAACAGATAATAATGAAACAGATGTTTTTGTGTATTAAATGACCGTCAAAGAAAACAAAGTGGACTTTAAAACTAGCCAACCCAAGTGTTGTGAAAAGAAAATTATTATGCGATCTTATGCGATCACTGAACATATTCAGCCAAAATCTCCTGAAAACCAAATGCGCAGCACAGTGACAGAGAAGAGTCATCAAGATGAAGGTGAAATGTTGCCTGTTTGTCTGGAGGAGCAACAGTGCAACAATTGCAGTTTTGAACACGGATTTCATTCATGAGTCTATTACAGACTGAGTAGATAAAACATTTGTGCTTGTTACTGGAAAACAGATGCATTTAGAAAAAAAAAATCTAATTTTAATTTATTAAAAAATAATGTTGGCGTCACCTTTAAGCTAAAACATAATTGATTAATGCACTGAAAATAAAAACATTTTTTTTACATACCCTAAGTTCTCCCCATTATTATTTAAGGTATTTAAAACACAACTTTAATTTTGTTGAGATTTGTGATTGTTTTCAGTCTTTCTGCTTTGTGCTTCTTCAGCTTCCCTTTTCTTTATTATTTTCTTGCACATTTTAGTTGATTTACTACAAGGTGAGAAACAAAGTCAAAGTCAAACACGATAAGTCCTGGGAATTCCTTCACAATATAAAAACTGGAAAACACACCTTAAACAAAAAACACTGATTCTGAAATGAACATCTGGTAATTTTGACGATGACGATAGCAGGGTAATGCAGAATTAAAAAACAAAGAAAAAAACAAAACTATAGTATAAAGAAGATAAAATCCTTCCTTTCTTCTCTCTCAGTCTGGACAGATTGAGGTCTGAAAATTCTGCTAACGTCCAACGTGAAGGTCGCACACAAACATTCAGTTGTCACTTCTGGAAAAAAAGGGATTTTGCATAAAAACGACGAAGAGCAAGTGTTTTCTTTTTCAGCTGCTTCACTCTCAAATCTGTAAGTCCAGCACCAGGGTCCGGCTTCTGGACTTGGTACTTCACCGGCTGTAAATGGACTGGTCTTCTCAGTGAAATCCATCGAACCCATCTCTGTTTTCTGGGTATTTGTACCTAATATTCTGGACTTTTGCTACACAGGCAATTGTACAGAGCAGATCTGTACACTGAATGTCAAGAAGAGCGACAGAGTTCCACTGCGCTGCTGCAGCGAGGCACCTAAAGGTCGTATGAATGTCATAGCGTTCAACACACGTGAGCACCTCACACTGATCCTGCTGTGGATTCTGTTTAAAAAAAATCCAAAACCAGCGTATTTTCCAAACCAGGGAGTTCTTCAAACCACATCCATCTTCCTCTGTGGTTTGCACAGAAAATTCAGGAGTGTCTCAAAATGGCACAAAATCATGAAACATGTTTCTTAAAAAAAAAAAAAAAAACAGAACTCCTGGATGTTCTCCATGTTCTTCACCATATTCTGGGTTCTCAGATTCTTCCTTCTTCTGAAACACACATTTTCCCGTTGAAAGCACTCACTGGTTCTGATTTGGTTAGGGTTCCAGGACCGTGTTGGTGACCTTGTCGACACAGGAACTGATTCCTCCGACGGTACCTGTCACCGTCTGAACTAAATAATAAAAGGTTCTTATGAATATATATCTGTATTTACAAGAGGTTAAAAAAGAACAAGTTCAAACCGTGGTAGTAAGTACACTGTAAAATGGCGTGTGTGTGTGTGTGTGTGTGTTGCTGTAGCTGTGGCAGTGTTCCTCTCTCTCACACACACACACACACACACGTTCTTCCAGACCTGTTTGTTTTCGTCTCTGTGTGAAACAGAGGAGGGTTCTTTGTCAGGTACTTTGATTAGAGGTCAGAACTTCTCCATATGGGTCAGAGAAGTAGAAACAGTTAGAGTCCAACGATGTGTGTATTCATCTGTCTACAGGTCGGCAGTGATGACCGAGTCGTTGTACATCCGTACGTCAGAATCAGCGTTCAGCAGCGCCGATGTTTGCGATCCGTGGTCCAGCTGTCCCATCATCTTCTGGTTAACCTGTCCGTACATCTGTGCCGAGCCTCCGCCGTTCCCGGGCATGATGCAGTGGGACAGCAGGGGCGCGTTGGCGTCATGGTTGGAGCCCGTGGTGGAGGGGACGCCACTGACGTGACCCGTGCTGGTGGAGCCACTAGCGCTGCTGGGGGAGCGGCTTTTAGGAGGGGGCAGGTGGTGCTGGATGACCCTGGTGGGCGGCACCGGGGCTGGGAAGTGGGCAGGGAACGCTGCGTACCCCGTCGGGATAGGGTATCCGTTGACGGGGATGAAGCGAGGGTGGGTCTGAGGCACAGCCATCTGTGTCCAGGCTTGAATCGGAGCCATCTGACCCGGAGAAGCCATGGCCTGGGCTGGGTAAAGGTAACCAGCCGCAGCCGCCGCCGCAGCGTAGCGAGGGTTGCTGAGGTTGCTGACGGGGCTGGCGCTGAGTGAGGTGGTCTGGGTGGTGGCATTGCCTCCACCACCAGAGGGCGTACTGGAACTGGCGTGGGATGAAAGACCTTCCCAGGCTCGCAGGCGGGCGTGCACGTCCTTGAACCTGGATCTGCGTCCGGGACTCTCCTGCCAACACTCTGTCATCAGACCATAAAACCTGAAAAAATACAAAATGGTTTGACAAACCTCTCAGAACAAAAAAACCCCAAAACAACATGACCAAATAGACCATGAAATATGGTGAACCAACCTCGGGGGGCAGTCTTCAGGGCAGGGCAGCAGCTGCCGCTTTCTCACCATCTCCATCACTTCCTGGTTGGAGAAGCCGTAATACGGCTGCAGGCCGTAGCTGAACATCTCCCACAGCACTACACCGAACGACCAGATGTCTGAGTCCGTGGTGAACTTGCCGTAGGTGATGGCCTCGGGGGACATCCAGCGGATGGGCAGCAGGGTTTTGGGCTGGATGCAGTAGTAATCTGAGGAGTAGATCTCTCTGGACAGACCCAGGTCCGATATCTTCACGTGAAGCTGTTCGCCCACTAAAACGTTGCGTGCAGCCAGGTCTTTGTGGATGTAGAAGTGACTGGCCAAGTACTCCATCCCAGCAGAAATCTGCAACAGTTAAGAAAAAATATCATTAAATCTTTGTCTTGTGTGAGTCTCAGACATGAGTTTGGACTTTTGTTTGGTACCTGGATGGCCATATGAAGGAAATCTCCATGGTCCAGGCTGGACTTGACTGTTCCGTCCTCATCGCTGCTGCAGCCCACGTCAGAATGAGGGGAACGCATGATGAGGAACTCGTGGAGGTCGCCCTGAGGGAGGAACTCGAACAGCATGCAGACGGGCTGCTCCTGGGTCACCACTCCCAGCAGGCACACCACGTTTGGATGTTGAAGCTCCGTCAGCACTGCAGCCTCCTGGTTTAATGAAGGAGTGATGTTGAAGAAGACAGAGAGGAAGGTGGAGACAATGATGTCATCAACTCACCCTCGGCTACAACCTAATTTATGTTTGAATTAAAGTGTTTTCCCACGTCAATCATCCTTATCTCAGAACTTTTGTATTGTATTTAGACCTAGAACAACAAGAGTGCCGCCTACTGGTAGAGCGAGTGATGCTGGTGTAATTTACTTGAAAGTTTCGGGCATAATCTACAGTGAACATACGACAGGAGAAATCAGCGAGCGAGTGATGCTGGTGTAATTTACTTTACTTAAAGTTTTGGGCATAATCTACAGTGAACATACGCCAGGAGAAATCAGGTCGATTTGTGTGACCTGTTTCTGTCGCCACCTGGTGGTCATTATTAACAATTACAGGTTTTACCTTTGACTTTTCTACATCATTTCCTCACTGGCTGCATTCAGACTTGATGACATTGATCATTAACATTCCGTACCTGCTGAAAGTCCCCCCACTGTTGGGTACTGGATATGTCTTTCAGGGTCTTTATGGCCACCAGCTGAGCCTGCTCCATGCCGGGCAGGTACAGGTGACCTTTGTAGATCTTTCCTAAAGAGCACTCTCCCAGCTCCTCCATGAAGCGCACAGCTGACAGTGGAAGCTCTTTGGCCTTACTCTGCTGAAGAAACAACAAAACAGAATACGAGGAATTAAGGGGAAATGAGATCAGTGGTAACAGTGATGAGACAGAAAACAAATGACACCACTATTCCCTGCTGGACATTCCACTGGTCCTCTATGGAGCAGTGTAATGTGGACGTCCAATGAACGTTGACACTTTTCAATTCAACACAGATGGCCTTTTCTGTGACTCATTTATCTACACAGATTAACCAAACAAAACTAGTGCTGAACTGTGACCTCTCCCAGTGGTGGAGTGGTTTGATGATTTCATATTAACATCCTACTGAGTACTATTGCAAAATATTATGCAAGAACATCACTGGTCACATAAAAAAAATAAAAAATAAACAAAAAAAATGTGTGAAAACTGCTGCAATATATTTAAGATTTTAATTAACTTAAAACGACAACACCTGTTTAGTGCAATAACAAGCGCTTTTCATTAAGCTAATATGAATCTTGTGATGAACTACAGACCTTTGGACAGAGTTCTACATAAGATTCAAACTGTGATGCAACTTCATACAGAAAACACAAGGACTATTTAAAATAAGCAGCAAAGAACGACAGAAAGCAAAATCAGGTAAAGTTGTTTAAAAGTTAACAACTTTACTTAGCATTAGCGCAAAAAGCACATTGTTTTAATGAAAAAATAATCAGCTCAACTCCTGAGCATGGATTTATTAAGACATAATATATTAATAATTAAACTTCAGATATTAATGTAATGATGATTTCTGACGATTTCTAACATTTTATTTTTTTGTTTAGTTTTCATTCTCGACCCTAATACTTAATAGCTGGGTGATATGAGAAACATACGGGCTAGAAATGTGTGTGTGTGTGTGTGTGTGTGTTTACTTGGAAAGACATGAAAGCTAAGCACCGATGGCAGAGATATTCAGATTCCAGAAACTCAAGAAATTCCTCAGTAGGTGGTGGAACACACACACAGAAACTGCACCGGAGGGGGCAGAGGGTGAGTGTGTGTGTGTGTGTGTGTGTGTGTGTGACCAGCTGATGTTTTAAGGCACACAGATGTTTTTAGTTTGGGGTCTGTTTACCCCCCCCCTCCCACGCTGACCCTCAGATCCTCCCCACACCACCACAGGTTCAGGCGTGTATTCACACAAACATATTCATGTGTGTCTAAGTGGATTGTCACAGGCAGTGACCTCTGGGTGACCCTGCAGCAGGGGCTGCTGGGAGGCGCTCAAACCTCAAACCCAGAGAAAGTCATAGATTAGCAGAGGTGAGAGGAGAGGACGCTCAGCCGGGCGATGAATTCTACTGTAATACCATTGGTGAAAATTAGAAGTAATTAATGTTTTATTACCGGTGTGTTAGTGTCGGGATTTTAACTTCAGGACGTTATAATCTCACAGTCTGACAGGTTTAAACCAGAGCTCAACAGATTTTCTAAATCAGTGATTCGTCAGTGACCATCAGGTGTGCTGCGGAAAGTTTCACTTCATTGTTCTGAAAACTATTATTTATTCACCGCAAATAATTTGTCTTTGTTCATCCATGTGACAATGACCGGTAGAAAAATTAAATAAACTACCACTAGGGTGCAGCAGATGGCTATAAAAACTAAAAAGAGTTCGACTAAGAGCTTCTCCTTTTCTTTGTGTCTTTCTTGAATTCCTGAGAGTATATGAGGGTTTTCAGTGTTCAACTAAACAGGACCAGGTTTTATACTGATTGAAACCAGAAGACGATTGTATTTCATCCAGTATAATATTTGGGACGTCTGTGTTTGCTGGTGTGCCATGGGATTTTTCTAATGTAAAACACAGTCTGTGCGGTTGGGAAACACTGACCTAAAGTGTATCGTCCTATAATTTCACAGTTGTCTCTCCGCTCCACCATGTTATATATAATCACCACATCATTGAATCTTTACATATAAAGTATCACATAAACACAGGCAGGAAGACATGGCTGCAGAAACCAGTGATATTAATGACTCCTGAAGCCTTTGTGACAACTTGTGGTTTTTCTCGCCATCTGTTGGTGGTAATTTCATACACGTCACCTTGAAATACCAGCTCTGGTTTTGCACAAGCAGACACAGTGTCTGGAGATAACCACGTTACCCACCCGCTGACACTGAGATGATGTGTTCTTAGACAAACAGACATGATAGGACTAAGCGTGTAACCTTGAAGGAAACTCGATACCGATCACGACGTGAGCAACGTGCCGAGAGGCCGAGCGGAGGCTGGACTCTGTACAGTAGACTGTACACAGGATCTTTGAGGAAAGTAGGGAAGGAAACAGGAAAGGTTGTAGAATAAAGACATGTTTCTGGGCTCAGGGAAGGAGTGAACAGATAACACAAACAGAACAAAAAAGACTGTGAGGAGAAGGTGTGAGGTTATTGAAGAGTCGGTTTCAATAGTTAAAACAAACTATTGTAGTTATGGGATTGTTCTATTATATTTCTATTTGAATGGACTGGTTCAAACACCACTAACAAAATTCTTATTTTTTTATTTTTAATATTTATTTTAGATATCTTTAGCAAAACAGTTGGATTAAATATTACAGTCACTGCAATGTTGACAACGTGGAAAAGATGTACTACTACGGTTTTTCAACCTTGGGGTCACGACCCCACATGGGGTCACTCAGATGAGTGTAGAAGAAGTGTAGTAATTGATCAAAAAATGTAAATGCACTTTGTGCACTAATTTAGCTACTCTTGATCTAAAACTATTTCTAGAAAAAAAAAAGTTTTTTTCATGATGTCAAAACCGGGTCACGAGCTACAAAAGGTTTGGAACCACTGACTTAAACTGTTGTTCAACTGAGCTCAGTTAAAGCCTCAAACAACATGCAGTACTACATCCACCGTCTCCAACAAATACTGCTCTTTACCTTGGGTTTGTATGCAGTGGTGAGCATCGACATCTCGACGTTTTGTCCACGCACAGGTTTGGGTTGACGAGGGGCGGGAGGACGCGAAGACTTCTGGTTGTTGCGGCACACGCAGATGAAGAGGAAGAGCAAGGCGATGGCTAAAGGGATGGCCACACTGGGGACCAGGATGTACAAGATCTCCATGTTGCTGCCACCGGACTTGTCCTTGAGGTCTACGAAGACGGACGAACGAAGGAGGAACTCAGTCAAGCTACTGAGTTTGATGAAACCACAATAAAGCATTTAACTTAAGATAAAAAATGTTTTTTTTTTTTTTTGCGTCTCACCACAGATGGGAATGTCACAGAGCTCCATACGAACGCTTTCATCCAGAGTGAAACACCAGGGGGCCTCGTGTTTGTTCCCTGGGTTGCGACAGTACGAGTGGCCGCCGTTCAGCTCCGGGTATCGAACAGCCAGGTAGGTGTGACTGTGAGGGTACTGGGAGTTCCACGGCTGGCACTGACGTCCAGACTTGGTCACGCTGACAGTTCCACGAAAGTCTGCGCCGCTGTTGTTGTAACACTTGTGGTCTGGAAACCGGGAGAGGTTGATGTTTAGCTAGCTAGGTGATTTTGGATCGCTCTTTTCAACTTCATAAACATATTTTGTTAACTAAATTATAAGCAGAAAACAATAAATGAAAAGTGAAGGCAATATAAATTTACAAAATCAATTTTTTTCAATCATTTCATGGAGATTTTCAATGGGTTCCACATAAAGTTAAGTCAAAAATGATTTGCTGAACGACTTAAACAGATGATTGAATAAAAACACAGTCGTCAGTTGACCCGTGTTCTTACTCTTGTTAATGGGCTCAGCCATGGGGATGCCAATCCTCAGACAGTTTGCGGCCTCTGGACTGTCGGAGGCAGCCAGGTCCTCACAGTTTGGCAGTTTCAGCCTCTTCAGGATCAGAGGGTTGGAGCGGGCGATGATGTACTCCGTCTTACACAGGTCGTTCTCCAGGATCTCACACTCGTCCTTACAAAGGTCCCGAGGCTTGTCCGTCCCCGAGCTGCGGTCACACGTCGGGAAGGCGAAGTGGCAAAGAGACGGAATGGCAAACTGGGAGCAGCGGTCGGACAAATGGTTGGATGTGCCGATCATAGTGAAGGCCGCTGGGGGGAAAGAAAAAAGGGACAACGTCACCTTCTGTCTTATTTCATTCATTTTACTTCAAATAAAAATAGCGTGAGGTTTAGGTTTAAACACATGAAAGACGTCTTCTTTTTTTTCCCACTTGGTTTAATGTTTCTTACATATGTCAGAAGATGTAAAGACACGACGGCTCAGCAGCGACCTGCTTACGTTAGTACTAACTGCTGAACATCTACACAGAGAGGATGAAAGCGACCGGACTGACAACGAAAAGCTCAGCACTAAATGCATGATTCATCGTCCTTCTGCACATTTATTGCTAACACATGCTGCTCTGTGGTTCAGACTGTCAGTCAAGGCACATCAGTCTGAGGCCGAGAGTGGGAGACAAGGCCTCAGAATGAAGATAAGTTGGCTGTTATTCAAATGACCTCAGTGTCTCTTTAAGATAAGGTGACTTGACGTTGACTCTGAGTGGACGGTGAAGATCTACTGGAACATGTTCTCACTCCACAGCACAGAGACTCTGGACTGTATGATCGAGTACAGTGGGTCGGCCCATGTGGGCTGCATTCACGGGCCGGTCACCCTGCTGACCTTCCTTTGAACACCACATGCCACGTCCTGTGTTCCTCCTACTGAACATACATTAAGGTCCAGCCAGACCAGGTCTTTACAGAAGGTTTCAATTGATTTATTTTATATAGATTTGCTGAAAAAGGGCTTTATCAGAGCTGGACGATCCAAAAAAACAAACAAACCCCAACAGGGTCAGAACGGGCTGTGACCACTTGAAAGGAAACGATAAATCCTTCAGATCAGCAAAAACTCAGGCTGCTTTTGTTCAGATAAAACCTTCAAACGTTCAGACTTTTTTGGGACAGTGGACTGGAGGACACCATGATGTCTCTCACCTGTGATCTGGGTCTCGATCTCGCCCTGCATCTGCAAAGAATCCACAAAGATGCTGCGGTTGCCGATGAAACGGGCGCAGGCGATGCCTCTGTAGGGCTGACAGAATCCTTCTTCGTCAAAATCATCCCTGAAACACAAGGTTGTCAGCGTTATTGTTGCAGTACAAACAAAGACCGCGAGGTGGCAGCATCTCTTCTCTTATGAGGGCTGAAGTGACTGGCAGCCCTCAATGGAAACTTTGGCCGTTTCTTTCTGCGGGTAGGATATAATAAGAGCTCTCCTATTTAAGATAAACCTGAAAGTCAGTCTCTCTCTCTCTCTCTCTCCCTCCCTCTCTCACCCACACACACTCAAACTCTCTCTGTGTTTTTGAAACTAACTGATTCTAAATCTAAATCTTGAAACTCTCTCTCCCTCAGTGTGGACATGCAGAATGGAACTACAAGAACAGAGTCCCCAAAATGGAGAGATTATTCTGACCTCCCCCTCCTCTGCCCTCCCCCCCTCCTGACCTCCTCCTCCTCCTCCCACACAGTGGAGATGTGAACCACATTAAGAATTAGGCCGTTTGACTTGATTGGTTATAGCACACAGATTGCATCCCGAGCAATAATTTGAAACATGTGGTCGAAGTGTGAGGCAGAAAACATGGTTGATTGTGCATTTACAACTTTTTTTTTTTTTTTTGCTCAGTGACGCCTCCTGGTGTTTTTTTTTGTTTTTTTTTTTAACGGCCCCCGCCGTATCGCTGCGCTGTTTCTTTTTGCCGATCTGTTTTTGCTTAAATCATTTTTAGTTTCCTCCGTCACTCTTCATCTGCTTCAAACTTTCACCTCTCGCGTTCTGAACACACAACTGCACATGTAGGCGCCAATTTACACACTCACACAAGAAACCACATGCTGAGTTGCAGGCTGTTTGTTGCTCAGGGTGAGATCAGTGTGTCAGTGTGCTGCCACAGCCACATCAGGACTGCGGGCACTTTCGACGGAACGTGTTCTCAATTCTGTTGAATTATAATCCTATTTGGAGAAAAAATAGACTAGAAAGCAAAAGAAGCAATTCATATGAAGTGAACGCCGTGTGTGAACAACGGTTGGCTCCTCCTGTCAGGGCCTGGTCAAAGATAAATTCTCAAAATAAAAAATTGGAAAGTTACATTTTTCTTTATTAGAGCATATAAAATGTCTTGAACATATCTATAAACTATATCAAGTTGTAAAGACGCTCACTTTCTCCCCCCCCATGCTGGCTAACTTTTTGCTACATAGATACAGTTAGCTGTTATGTGTGTGTGTGTGTGTTATATGTGCGCTCTGGCTATTTGAGCATGATTAAACATGCATGTTTTTCTCCAAAGGTGTATGGCACCTGTCCCCAACCCCTGGTCCCTGGACCAGTACTGGTCCGTGGGGTCAGTTGGTACCCGGCTGCAGAGGAAGAACGATTAATTTGTTAATTTAGAGAGAATCCGATCATTTCTATTTTCTTTCACCATTTAATATTAATTTTTTATATTTTTTTGTTTTTTAAACTCATCATCATCTCTAGGTCACTGAGATCTGTTTACTGACTGCAGGTCAAAGGTCAAGTCTCTGTCTCTGATGTCACCCATGTAAATGAGGTTTTTTCCAGACATGCCTGCAGATGTACAGTGATGTACAGAGCACTGGTTAGCCTGCTGCTAACACCACACAGACATGCTAACACTGAATTAGCGGCTAACTACATATTTAAACAGACCTTTATCAGTGGAATATGCAATTTTCTACTCAAATGTGGATATGGCTAATAATGAGCTGATGTTGTGGCGCGCCTGCAGACGGCTCCGCAGCCTCCCATCAAACCACAGTCGGCCGTATATTCAGATATTTTCCTTTGGCAGAGAGCGTCTCCTTTTTAGGTGAAAATCACATCTGGTCATAAATCTGTAAGAAGAGAATCTACGGCTCCGAGTGAAGGACAGACGATTGATGGGTGGGATACTACCCACACTGAAATGGACCGGAACAAGAAGAGCGCTGGAGTGAGTCCAGGCGGCAGAACTTTGACCCAAAAACAGTGGACACACACACACACATTTGTACCAACATCCAGCCACACACAGACCAGGAAATGACAAGGCAGAGTAGACCAACCACCGAAACTCAGCCAAGTCCCCAGAGGGAAATTACTGATCCGGTCCGGCTCTGTCCAGATCACAAACCGTCCCACGTTTCTGTTCTAAGTCTTCACGTCTGTCTCTCTGTACGTGTCTGTGCTCCAGACTGAACTGCACAAATCACTGCAAACATGTTTGAAGGAAAGTAATGAGCAGGAAAGACGACTCAACAGAAAGCGTCCCCTGGTCTCCAGTTCTGTCAGTGTGTCTCTGCTCATCGTCCCAGGACAGAAACAGACAAGTGTGGTTGCTGTTTACGCAAACAGTGAACAAAGTTTTTTTTGTTTCGTTTTTTTCATTTTATTTCACAGACTGAGCCCACGGCCTCGTGTTGTTAAAGGTTTAGAACAGTTAGTTTTGAAGAGAAGAGTTTTCTGCGTGCAGCTAATAAAGTACAGGTTTAAACAGATGAAGACCCCCCCGCGCACTCCAACCAAAGATAAACAAAGTATTTAGGATGTGGATTCACTGTTCATTACATTTAATTTCACTTTAATTTTTTCACAGGGACGTTCACGACCACCAGGGTTTTTCTATTGTCTGTTTTCTCCAGCAGTGATTTAGACATTGATCGATTCAAAACTCGTGTTTTGACATTAAATTCTCCTTCTGTCACCTGCTCCTCTCAGCCATCATCACAGAGAACCATCTGCCGCCCCCTTCAGGACTGTCGTATACCAGAAATTCTTCCCGAGAACCATCTGCCGCCCCCTTCAGGACCGTCGTACAACATCTTCTTTCCTTAATTGTTTTTACCTTTTGTCAAATACTTTGACTATTTTCTTGCTGATTCCCGATGAAAAAAAAAGTCTTTACTTCCGGCTCAGTCTCAGTCAGGGCTAAAAAAAATTGGTTCAAAAATGAATATTTCTAGAACTTTCTTTCTTTATTTTAGGCTAATGAAAGTTGTTTTTATCACGTACAAATCCCTGATCACGTCACCGGGGTCTGTCCTGGACACGTCGGTGTCGTCCGTCCGTCGACTTGATGGGTTTGTGTTGAGTTTTGGGGTCAAGAGGATGTGAAACCCAACCCCACTGGAGGGGAACAAGGGGAGGATGAGATGTGAGGGTGAGGATGTGAGGACGCCAGGGGCTGAGCTCAGTGACATTTGAAGTTTCAGGTTCGAGGTGAGTGATAAAGAGGTCAGCGACCCTTATTTTGAAATACATATGTATAGAAGTGGAATATATTCAGATACATGGAGTCGGACTGTACGGTGTTTTCATTGGCTGGCCTCCGCTCCGCATCACTGAAATTCAATTACCACTGGAGAATCACAGCGTACATGAGCGGCTGCTGTAACTAACAGTCTCTCATTGACAGGAAGCCAGAGCTGCCGCCAGAGGCTGAGGTTGACTGGGGTCTGTGGCTGCCAGTGGCCCGTGACCACACTGGGAGTGAACAATGACGGAGGGCAACTGAGACGCTGCTGTAAGAAAAGACAAGACCCTCCGGGGTCTTCATGTTACTGCTGCTCACTGACGCCAACAAAAGGGGCTTCTGTCAGAGCGATGGTTGAACAGGTTGGGGGCGGAGTCACGGAGGAAGGCAGCAGAGATGATGGAGGTCGTTGTGTGGTGACTACTGCAGATGGTTGTTGTTCACAACATCACGGCCGGAAACGATGCACTGTTTAAAATAAACTCTGATGTTCCTACTAATCTGCTGATCTCATTGAACACACATTCTCCTACTGTGGCGCAAAGAAAAAAGAAAATGCTAAAAACGACACCAACCCTCCCCCGCAACAGCTTCACGCCCCGCACTTTGAAAACCACTGCAGTAGGTGAAAATACTTTTTGTAAAATGGAACCTGGTCTGATATGAAACAGTGACAGAGGCTTCACTCTGCAGAAGAATCTTCTTTTCAGCTCCGTCTTTTCTGCCCACACAGGCCGGGAGTCACGGCGAAGCTAAAGGGTTTTAATAACAGGTTCGACACCTAGTCGGCGATTTGACGTGCAGGAAATGAGCAAACATCAACCCTGTCACTCCTCACAACACCCGCAACCTGATGACATCACTTCCACCCAGAGGACTGCAGGGTATCGGGGGCCCAGAGGAGGGAGGCGTTGGGGAGCGAGGGTGTCAATCACGCTGTCGATTGGCACGAACAGGAGGCTAATGTTTGTGTCCCCGACAACTGAACGCAAAGCTAGTTGTGTTTAGACAGATACATGAACACACACACACACGTCACCCACACACACCTCAGACATGCAATGATTTTGTTTGACTAATTACTCGTCCACTGGGTGTGGAAACTAAACCTAAACCAATGAAAAAGGAGATAAAAAAAACCAAGGAAGGAAAATTAAACAATCAGAATTAATAAATATTAGTGTTGTTAATGGTTTTGTTTTAAAAGAAGAATTTATCCAGTCGTCTCCATGGTGTTTTCTTTCATTTAAAAGAAGAATTTATCCAGTCGTCTTTATGGGAGTTGCCATGGTGTTTTCTTTCGTTCTCAACCAGAAATAGCATTGGTTGCTTCCCCACTAGGTGTTGCTATATCACACTCAGCGCACCTTCAAAGGTGTTTTTTTTTCCTTCTTCCTTGTTTTGAATCAGTGGCGTCTCCTGGTTACTGTACCTCCAGTAGTACCAGCCTGTCGACCGCAGCCTGCTGCTCACCATCTGTTATGATGTCATCACGCAGCTAAAATAGAGACTGTAGCTTAAAGCGGAGGAGATGCTTCAAAGGATTTATAACATAAGCATTTATTGTTCCAGAGACTGTAAAGATGAAGTTGTCCCACAGATGACATGTTCAGGGAACCCCGTTTAAACCAGTGTTTTATACCATGTTTTGGTTCGTGTGGACGCCATGGTAACAGTCACAGTCTGGGTCATGACCAGGGTCAGAACACAGCATGGGTAAAATATCCAAAAAATATATAAAATATTCCGTCTTTTAATAAAATTGAAAAATGTCGATGTGGACGTTTACTGCACACAGAACT